AATTTGGGGGTGGGGGGGGGGGGGGGGGGAGGTTTCCCCTTAGATTAATGAATGTGGTGAAATTTCACTTTGTAAAGAATACTCAATCATGTTCAAGGAAACTAACAGAACAGTATTATTGGTTGCACATGATTGGACGATTGAGGTCAGCGGAGCTTCACCTGAAAGGGAAACTTTCCCCGCAAAGTGCAAATTCTATTGCAAAGTGAACACCCTGTTTGCCTTTAGTAAATCAACCCCTCTATAGCTATACGGGTAATACAATAATGACATAACAAGCATGTAAAAATGTTGGTTTCATTACTTCTAGGTAAACATAAAATGAATCTGTGCTCATAAAATAATCAATAAAATGTCTTATTTCAATAATGTTCTTTGGAACCATGTAATGCTTTCTCCCTTTGTTTACATTGTCCTGTTTTCCCCTTTTAGGTGGTAAAGTGTCCAGAGCCGAACATTCATGGCATGCACCAGCAACTACACTGCTCCGTATGAGTCCACCCTCTTCCCCATTATCTATGGACTGGTCTTTATCTTTGGATTGATTGGTAACTTGGCGGCAACAGGCATAATATACCAACATGTGAAGCGGAATAATGTGCTGGGGGTGTATCTGGCCAATCTGTGCGCCTCCGACCTGGTGTACATCTTCACCTTGCCGGTATGGATTGCCTACACTGCCAAAGAAGATTGGCTCTTTGGGGCAGTCAGCTGTAAGATTGTGGGCTTTTTCTTTAATGCCAATCTCTATACCACCATCGCTTTCCTCAGCTGTATCGCCGCAGACCGCTTTGTAGCAACCGTGTTTCCATTCAGGGCCAGAGCATTACGGACTATGAAGGGCGCCTTAATAATCTGTGTGGTGGTTTGGCTGATCATCTTGGGAACCCATTCGGTTTTCCTCGGTCGAAATGAACTCTTCAATTCCAGTCACAATATCAAGCTTTGTTACGAGAAATATCCAATGGAGAAGTGGATGGCTCGGGTCAACTATTTCCGCATCTTCGTTGTTTTTCTCATCCCTTTGGTGATTCTGGTGGTCTCCTACTGCTCTGTTGTCAGAGTGGTTCACCAGAGTCACAGCTTGGAGAAAGAACAGAAGCGTAAGATCATTGGCCTCCTCCTAACCATGACCGCCATATTTGTCATCTGCTACCTCCCATATCACATTGTGCTTTTCTTCCGCTCCTATATCAGCGAGTACAGTCTTACACCCTGCGCTATAGAGGATAAAATCCGCCCAGCTTATCGAATCACATTCACCTTCACCAGCCTTAGCAGCGCGCTAGACCCTTTCATCAATATATTTGTCAGTGAAAGTATTAAGCAAGACTTGTTGAAGGAGGTCAGAGCTGTGTGGACTGGATTCCGATCCATACGTCATGTACGAACCTCTTTCAGGCAGTCTTCAAGGGCTGTTGTCAGCGATACAGAAGTCCATCACGTAGAGAATCACCATCTCCTGATAGAAAAGAAGGAAGAGACGCCACTTTGATTGTTCAGGAGACTCAAGTCAAACCAAACCCAACTGTACATAAGACTAAACTTCAACAACCATTGGATGGGCACATTCAACGCTGACATTGATCTGCTAATATTTTGCCTTTCCTGGTTCCTCTTTCCTCCCCTCTAATACATGCTCGTTTTTTTCTTTTTAAATAAATCTGTTTTCATGACTTTACTTATTTTAGACCCAATGATGTAATTTACTGGGTCTTTCTGCTTCTCTATGCAATGCAGACAGATTACGGCTGGTGGGAGGGGAAGGCAGAGTGCTTTACATAGTACTCCTCTCAAGAGCCTTCGGTCCTGATGTTAGCAGGGGGCTGGCTCTTGGGAGGAGTCATGTAAATATCAATATGCCTTGATGAGTGGATTTCAGTCCAGATAGGCTGCGTTTGCATGCAGAGTGCTCTGGGTAACGCCCACATGTGATGCTGAACCTCTATGATTGAAAGAGCTAAAAAAAAACATTAATAAAAGGGGTGGGCTAGGACTTGTTACTCTGCAGAGAAAAGGGTTAGATGATGCTAGATTACGTGCTGCTCCTTCTAATGTACATTGTGAGAAGCTCCCAGTGTGCAGCAATTTCAGTGCAGAGGAGAGCCAGTACAACTGAAGGTAACGCTGGAGATCGACTTTTAACACGTGACCCTTCTGGGCTGTGGACCCTTCAGGACCAGGGTGGGGTTTTGCAGCTATTATCCATAAACATCACATTCATTCTTCACTGTGCCAGAGAATGAGAGGTGAAGCCCCTTTGGCTCCAGTCCCGTCCCCAGATCCTGAGAATGTTCCTATAGGCACTAGAAACGTGTATCTGATGCCTTACAATAGGTCACCGTTTGGATGACGGAATCTCGGCTCTTTAGGAAAACCTTTCCTGAGAGGACCTGGAGGCCGCCATTGCTGACGTCTCATTCTGTCATTCTAAACCTCTGGATTCAAAACTTGGTCACCGACCTGGAACAAGTATGCAAATCAGGACTTCTGACTTTGCTTGATCAGCATACTTGTTCCAGGTCAGGGACTCTGAAAGCGCTGAAGCCGGAGGGTGAGCATGACAGCCAAGCAACTATGGTTTTCAGGAGGTATAGATGAGTGGAAGTCCCGATCGTTCCCTCAGGACAGGACAGTAGTTTTATAGTACACATCACACTGTTGTGGCAATGAGGGTAATTATTATTATTATTACATAGTATTTATATAGCGCCAACAGTTTGCGCAGCGCTGTACAATATAAGGAAGACATTACAATCACAATACAAATCAATACAAGATGGTAAGGAGGGGCCTGCCCCTGAGGGCTTACAATGTAAAAGATGGTGGCCAATGTTTGTGTGTTCATAGTGGTTGCCATTCATTTCCTATGGCACCCCATGGGGGTATGTATACACGGTGTGCCAGAATAACCGATGCGGTAGAAGTGATTTGGTGCTGGAATTTCATGTTATGCCATTTCAGGTGCCGAATCCCACGCTTCAACCAACCGAATCAAAGTTCTTGTATTTCGGCTTTACTTCATACATACATTTATTTGCAAGGTCACGTGACACGGTTATGTGGATTCACACCTTTGCCTGTGTTTATTAATGGCTTCTCACCGGTGTAACGCATATATGTCTCATCCTGGGGGGTGGGTTCTTGACACTGACTGTATGCACATATGCCTCACCCAGCCCAACGTTCTGTTTGGAGAGGCGCTTATTAACGTGCTCCTGTCATGGTGATTGAGCCCTCACTGACCGCTACCAGTCACTGTTTACAATCTGGCGCTGGTGAGATGGGCTCCCTAGCCTGTGATAGCCATGCACAACGATCACATGATTAGGAAGCATGCCTCTGGAGTCTGCAGGAAGGGGTTCAAATCAAATTATCATAGAAATGCATTAAAACGCATATTGCAAAATGTGTCACAATGCACATTAATACATGTTGATGCACGTCAAAACCGGCCATGACGCATATCAGCATATGTTGATGCATGTCAAAACTAGTCTCAATGCATATCAACACATATCGATGTGCAATGCAGTACACAGATGTGCAATGCAGATTGTCTTACTATTGCTTACAGTGGAAAATGCATCAAAAGGCGATGGTGTGATTGGGCCCCTAATGTAGCTTTATGGTAATATCTGTGTCTATTCCTATCAGCACTCAGTATTAGTTTTGGGAGGAGGAATTACTATTTATAGTGAAATTGTGCTAGGAGAGCTAAACCATGACCTGTGATTGGTTTTCTAGAACCGGCATAGGAAATGAGGACTCGTAGCCCTCTGAGGGCATTCTGATGATTGTGTATGTATCCATCATTGAACTGTGCTCAGGGCTGGGTAGGCTAAGGGTTGTGTGCATGAAATAGGAACCAAACTTGCCCAATATATCCAACATACCCCTGAGATCAGTTGGTGGTTGTGCACAGGACCTGTAGGCCTGAAGTTGTTGCCCTTTCCGTCTGACAAATCCCATCTCCTGTCTATAGTGTCTTTTTAATATATTGTCTTATATCGTCCTTCACAGCCCCCTTGTGTGTTATCATGTGCTGCAAGGTTATTTTGTGACCTGGCAGCCTACAAGGGATGAAGAAATGGGACCTCTAACCATCCACGGTCTCCCTTCTGTTACTCTTCCACACACAGAAAAAAGGCGGACACTCGTGATAAAACTCTGGAAACTGAATTTTATTGGACCTGTTGCACTGAGCCCGTTGGGAAAATACATGTTTACATGTTCATGTTTTATTTTGTAATAGTTGAATATTCTTTACAATAAAATTTACATTTTGCTCTTTTTAAACCCTTTCTAGAAAACCATTTTACAGCAGCAGGAACAGAATCCAGTTGGAGAGGACATTACCAGCTCATGCATTTCAGTTCCTTTATGTAACCTATGGCATGCACTCAATGTTTCTCCATGGCCCTTGGTGGCTGTGACACGTACGTGGCATCACTCTGCAACCTTACCGACGTGGTGGTCCTCAGTGCTGAATATCCTCCAATAACCAATGGAAAGCTGATAAAGCACTTTGCATGTGTAGCACTGGAATCTGTGCTGAAGGCCAAAACGCACGTCAACAACAAAGACCAGCATGCTCTGCTCCACGGCCAATATGGCCACCGTTAACCTCATGTAAGTACAGTCCTTCTGGTTGCAAGAGTTATCACAGTAGAAGTAGAGCCACTGTTCTCTAAGCTGGCTGGCCTGTGGGATTGGCAGCCGGCCCAGGTTATGCATGTATCCTCTGTCTGTATTTAAATCAAAGAAAATCTGAACCAAACGAGGAAAATCAAGTTTTGCATTTCCTTGCAGCAATCACTGAGGCATGCACTCCGCTATGTGGTTATGGAAGGGAGCACATGCAGCGGTGCTTGTCATCAGACTCGGCCGGTGGTTACACAGAAGCAGACATTTTGTGGGCTAGATCTTCACAAAGAACAGGTAAACGATTGCTGCCGTCGTCTCACATGTGACCTGCCAGGATACCGTGTTCTAATCACATGGCCTGTGTACACGCCGCAGCAATGTCTGTGCGCTATTGTGAAGTCACAAGACAAGTGAAAGAAAAACGTTACCAAATGGATGCTGTGCTCTGTGTAGCCAACGGGACTGAGTTTCTGACAAACTTTGGCCGTGGCTGGATAGAAAGATAGACATAT